GAGAGTGCCTCCGGTGAGCCGCCGTCCCCCGCCCGCGGCGCCCTCGGGTCCCCCGGGGGTGGTGGCACCGCGGGGAGCCCTTGGCGGGATGGGATGTGACTATCGTACCCCCTCCCTCCTTCCCCATGCTGCCGCCAGATGAGGACAGCCTGTCCGGGGACGCCAGCGAGCTGAAGATGCCGGCTTCGCAGATCAAGAGGAAGAAGCGGCGGCACAGGTGACCGCCGGCCACCCCCGTGCGTCCCCGTGGGTGTGCCCGCGAGGAGCAGGGCATCCAAGCTGGGGGAGGCGGGAGGGGTTGATGCTATGCCCTGCTCGCCTGGACCCCGTCGCAGGACGCTGTTCGCTCTCCGCAGGACGGTGTTCACCGCCCATCAGCTGGAGGAGCTGGAGAAGGCGTTCAACGAAGCTCACTATCCCGACGTCTATGCCAGGGAGATGCTGGCGGTGAAGACGGAGCTGCCCGAGGACCGCATCCAGGTAAGCGGCTCCTCGCTGCCCGGGCGGCCGCTGGCACCGGCTGTGCTCCGCCATAGGGCAAGAGAGTGCGGGCGGCAGGGAGGTGGTGGCACTGGGGGGCTGATCTGGCGGATGACAGCCCGGCACACCGGGGCAGGGAGTTGGAGTTGGCTTTAAGGTCCCTTCCAATCCAGCCGTTCTGTGATTCTATGATTGCATTGCCCGGGTTCCGAGCGGAAGTGCAGACGAAGGGACTCAGTGCCCTGCTGTTTGGACAGGAGCTTGGAGCAGTGCAGGAGGTGCAGGCTGCTTCCCACCTTGCTCACACAGCTCTTCAAGAGGCACTTTATGGCCCAATCCTGCCTTGTTGCGGAGCAGCTCGTTGGGGTGGGGGTTTGGGTGATGCTTAGGTTGCATCGACACCTCTGGAGGCTTTAAGAACAAGAAGGAGATGAGGAGAGGGACTCGAGCATCCTCTGCCATCATGCGTGAATGCTTTATGGACCCCTTTTTCTGCATACGCAAATGGCTTTGCACAGAAGGGCTCTGCAGGAGGGTGGCATGCAGGGGCTGCCCTCAGTGACTCAGGCTGGGGACACTTTCATAGGTCAGGATCAGCCTCGTGTAACGTCTGCTCCCTCTCCCCCCCTTCCTCTCCTCCCTCACTGACACCCACGTGTGCCTTCCCCAAATTCCCCACTGTGGCTCTGCCCTGGCCACTCTCGCATTGCCAACCCTGCGTGCCCCCAACCCCATGGCCGCCCCTGGGCGCGCTCCACCATGGCTCGAACGCCCATCTCCTCCCCATCCCACCCCTCCGTGCTCTCCTGGCTGTTACCCCTGAAGGTTTGGTTTCAGAACCGAAGAGCCAAGTGGCGGAAGCGGGAGAAGTGCTGGGGCCGGAGCAGCGTGATGGCTGAGTATGGGCTGTACGGAGCCATGGTGCGGCACTCCATCCCTCTGCCCGAGTCCATCATCAACTCGGCCAAGAGCGGGCTGGTGGGATCCTGCGCCCCGTGGCTGCTGGGTGAGCCTCAGGCAAGAGCGGGGCATGTGGGAGCTGCAGCGGATGGCAGTGTTAGTGCTGTGTCAGAGCTACCCTGGGGCTCCGGTGTAACAAGAATCTGGAACTGTTGGAGTGGGTCTCTGCACACGACAGGGGGGTTGGAACCAAGTGATCTTTAAGGTCCCTTCCGACCCAAGTCATTCTGAACCTGGGGTCCTGCATGGAGGTGATACTTGAAGACGGGGCTGGGATGGGCTGTCACAACACTTCTCTGTCTTCCCTGCTGAGTGGGAGGGAAATGTACAGATTGATCCTGTTGCAAACCGTCCTGAGTGGTGCAGAGAGCAAGCTGCAGGGTCTGGGCTGGGGTCTGTGGCATGAGTTTTCCTCTGGATGTAAGTGTGAGCTGGGGTAGGCAGCAGGAGGGCAGAGCAGCATGTTCCCCTCCCGCACTGAGCACTCCCAGGCAGAAATAAGCAGCCGGCTCCTTTGGTTTGCTCTCCCCCCTCTGCAAGGCATGCACAAGAAGTCCATGGAGGTGAGCAGGAAGGCAGAGAGCCAGGAGAAGCCGACAGATGGCTGGCAAGCAGAGCAGGATGGAGAGGAACTTCAAGGGAAGCAGGCCAGTTCTCACAGGAGCTCCGAAAAGCTTGGCCCTGCGAAAGATCCTGAAGACACAGCCATCGACCTCTCCAGGACAGCCAAGCAGGAGAAGAGGAGCGTACTGAGGCAGTGCGTCAACGGGGAGCCCGCCACGGAGCAGAAGGACAGGGACCACTGAGCTTGGGCAGCCCTGGAAGAGGCCAGAGCTCACAGCTTTCTGGGGAGATCAGAATATTTATTGGTTTATTGATATATCTCTATATTTTTCTGAAATAATTGAACTTCTATCTGAATTCAGGGCATTTTAAAACTGGAAACCTTCCTCCCGACTCTGTCCCCTCACTTGTCAGCAGAGCACAGGGGAAGCCAGGGTGGAGCGTGGGAGGTGTGTCCCAACACAGCCAAGAGCAGTGTGAAAACAGGACCATCCTTTGGGCAGCACAGATGGCTGCTCAGGAAGAGCCCCCCTTCTCCTCTGGGATGTGTCCCAGGCTATCCAAGAGCACAAACAGCAAGAAAGCCATGGGAATCGCTCTGATACCCGGGTGCAGAGATAGTGCAGGTCATGGATGCCTTCTCTGAGCACTTCCACCCCTGCACAGCACCCATGTGGTGATTCCCTCTGCTTCAGGCACGTGATTCTTTCACCTCAAGGAGCAGCAGGGCTTTTAAACGCAGTAGGGTCCATCCTCAGGCTGGTGTAACTGGACCAGTTTATACCTCCTGAGGATCTGGCCTGCCAATGCAGCCTTACCACTGGATTTACACTGTGTAGCTTCCTTAACTCACGTTTGGGAGAAGGGGGTAAAAACATTTTTGTTTATGCAATGATTTTGTACACTCTTGAATGTTATCTTCCATACTATGCATAATAGAACAGAAAACCAAGCCATAGCCCCCTGGAACAATTGAACAGTCTTGGGAACTGACAGAATACTTTGTAATTGTCTGTAAATAGTGTAATGTCAGAGCTGTTTCTTGGTCGTCCTATATTTATGTCTTAAAAGCACTTTAGTGGTCTGGATTTTTGAATGTGGCTGTTCCTGTTTTGTCCATCATTTATTTATTACACATCTTAAGTAAAATTGTGGCATATCTTTGGTTTTCATGCTCCTCATTGGTGATTTTTCAATTTTACTTTGGCGGACGTCACAGTAGTTGCCTGGAAGTAGGGTCCTGCACAGACCCATGTCTGAATGCAGTTGGTCACTCCCCTGAGGCTGTGCAGTTACCCAGGGGAGCAGAGCAGAGCCCTCATGTGTCTTCCCCCAAGCTGAGTTCCAGTTCAGCAGATTCTACATGCCCAAAGGCAACTGACTGTTGCTCATCAAAGACCCCAAATGCCCATCCAGAAATGCCCAGTGCACTGGAAGGTGCAGAGTTGGGCCCTGTGTCCCTTGTGGTTAAACATAAGGAGCTTGCTTTGGGTTAGGTGAATGGATGGTGAAGACACCTGGGGGGCACCTCAGCCTCCCAGCAGATACGCTGATCAGGATGGTGCCGGCAGCCCCTTGATCATCTGCAGCCATGTGCAAGGGTGTTATGGCCATCTAGGTGCTCAGACTCAAGCTGCAACTGGTCCTCCTCGCTGCCATGTCGAGTTGGCCCAGATATGTGCTGTGACAGCTCTCCTGGAACACCTCCAGCTTTCCCTGCTGGCCAAAACCTAACTGAAAATTATCAGAAGGTTTTATTACAATCTGAGTAATCCCAATTTGGAAAGTTTCCTGATGCAGCTCGGTGTGAGCACAGTCGTGTCATGATGTTGTCACCTGTCTCTGCTGCCAGGATGCTCCTTGCACACTGGGTGCAGTGTAGAGGGCCAAGGGTGCACAGGGGAACGGCTGGCTGGGAAGAGCAGAGAAATAATGATCTTTAAGGTCCTTTCCAACTTAAGCCATGATTCTAATAGAAATGGCATCTGCAGATTTCCTGTTTTTCCCTCCCTCCACTCAGTCAGGCCCCGCTGAGGGGTGGGAGGGAACATATGCATGGCAAATACAAGCTTTGCAGAAAAACAAAACAAAACAAAACAAAAAAACCCCCACACATATGATGGAGTGGGGGAGATCAGTTCATGAAAGGACCAGCAGCAGGGCTTATTGCAGCAGCAATTAGGCTCTGCGAGAGCCGAGACTTAGCACATTGGAGGCCTAATCCTGCCTGAGCAGCATCTGCAAACCCTTTATTTGGGCCGTGCCACGCTGGCACTAGATGCTTGCGATGCTTTTTTTTTCCTGCCTTGCCTGCGTGCAGATGGCCTGGCGCTCTGCCTCACACTGGACACAGTGCTGTGAGCCGTGAGCAACCCACTACTGCAATGGGGAAACACCATGGCCCTGTCCCCCTGTGGGATGCAGAGCACTGCTGGAAGGGCTCCCAGCTCTCTGTGCTGTGAGGGGTGGTTCATAGGGAGGGGTGCTGGCCCGAGGCACATTTCATAGAGGCACACAATGGCTCGGGCTGGAAGGGACCTCAAAGCCCATCCAGTTCTAACCCCAGCCGTGGGCCAGGCTGCCTTCCAGCTCAGGCCGCAAAGGACTCCATGTAACCTGGAGGAACACCTCTGGGGATGGGGCACCCACAGCTTCTATGGGCAGCTGTGCCAGTGCCTCACTGCCTCACACTGAGGAATTTCTTCCTTATATCTAACTTAAATCTCTTCTTTTTTAGTCTAAAGCCACTCCCATTGTCCTGTCACTATCAGACCACATTGAAAGTCAGTCCCTCTCCTGTTTATAAGCGTTCCTGAAGTACTGGAAGGTTTCAACGAGGTCTCCTTGCGCGGCCGCCCGGGGCGAGCGACTCCCGACCACGGGACCTCCAGGCCGCAGGGCGGCGTGGCGGCCTCTCTCCGTTACCCGGCGGCGCTAGTCTACGGCCCGCGAGGGAGCCCTCCGCGCCTGCGCGCCGCCCTCTCGATGGTGTCGGGGCGGCCTCCATGGCGGTGGCGGTGCTGCGGCCGTTGGACGCGCCGCCGGCGGAGCTGGTGCCGGTGACGGCGCTGCTGCTGGCTCCGCCGCCGCTCTGCGCGGCTCTGAGGGGCCGCGGCGGCGGGCTGGTGCTGGCGGTGCGGCCGGCGGGGCGCGTCGGGGCGCAGGCCGTGCTGCTAAGCGCCGTGGCGCTGGAGGCGGGCGGGCGGAGGGGCGCCGAGCTGTGGCTGCGCGGGGCGCTGCTGCGCCGCCTGGGGCTGGCGGCGGGCCGCCGGGTGGCCGTGTGGCCGGTGCGCCGCCCGCCGCCGCTGGCCTGGGTGCTGCTGGGGGCGGCGGCGGCGGTGGGGCGGGCGGGGAGGCCGGCGGGCGGCGCGGTGCTGGCGCGGCGCGGCGAGGCCTTGCCGGGGCCGGGGCCGGGCCCTCTGGTGCTGGAAGCGCGGCCGGCGCTGCAGGGGTTGCTAGGCAACGGTACGCGCGTCGCGCTCGCCGCCCCGCCGCCGCGCGAGGCCGAGGCCGGGCCCGCTCCCGCTCACGGAGGCGGCGCCCCCTGCCGGCGCCCCGCCGCGCCGCCCGTCGTCTCTCTTTTCGCCGCCGGGCGCGGGCGGGCGGAGGGGCCGCGGCTTCGGGCGGCGCCCCCTTGCGGCGGGGCGGGAAGCGGAGTGGCCGAGGTGTGGGTGAGCCGGCGCGGGCTGCTGGCGCTGGGGCTCTTCCAGGGAGAGTGGGTGCGGGTGAGCGCCGAGGGGGTGGCCCGGCCGCACCTGGCCGCGGTGTTCGCCCGCCCGCTCGCCTGGGACTACCCGCGGGCCGCCCGCCGCAGGCCCCCGGACGGCGCCGCCCTGCTGGCGCCCGCCCTCGCCTTCAACCTGGGCTGCGAGCCCGGCGGCGGGACGCACGTCTGCCTACGGGTGAGCTCCGGCGAGGGGTGTGGGGCGATGGGCGCGGGACGGGCGGCTCACGGCGTGCTTCGTCCCCCCGCAGAGGTACGACGGGGTGCCCGGGGCTGCGGAAGGGAAGGGTAGCCGCTCCTTGCTGCCCGTGCCGCCCTTCGCCGCGGAGCTGCACGTCGAGATGATCTGCTCGCCTGCCTACTGCGCCCGAGCCGTGTATGACCGCCTTCTCTACCGGCACTTCCAGACGCCCCGGTGAGCCGCGGCTGGACGCTTTGTAGATAGCCGCTCACGCCATCGTGAGCTGTGCGGTGTGGTGACGGGAGTCGGACGCTGTGGTCGTCGTGGGGCCCTTCCGTCGGGATGTTCCCTGATGCCGTGATTCATCTCCCCATAAGTTCACACGGGCCTCGCTTCCACACAGCACTCTCCATCGCACGCCTCCCTCTGGTTGCGTCTGCTTTCATCCCGTGCATCCCATCCTTCAGTATTCCCGGTGTCAGAATACAGAAAGGACCGAGTTGGTGTTAACCGCTATATTCATTTCTGTAGAAGCGTGTGGTATGGAGTGGATGCACGAGAAGAATTTACCATTTCTCACTAGTGAAGCTCTTGGTCGTTTTGTTTTTTTTTTGTAGGCTGGTCCAGGAGGGAGATGTCCTCTGTGTCCCAACATTTGGATGTGCCGAGTTTTTAGATGGAAATGCAGACAAACTCCTTAGGTAAGTGCCAATAAACTGCTTCTGCTATACGGACACAAAAAGAGAAAAGGTGCTTTTCTCCTCCTTGAAACAAGACAATGGGTTCTGTTCTCTTCTGTTCTTGGAGTCCATAGAGTCATAGAGTGGCTTGAATTGGAGGGGGCCCTAAAGATCATTGAGTTTGAATCCCCTGCCACAGACAGGGTTGCCAGCTGGAAGTTTATCTGCCTGTTATTTTAAAGGGAGAGGGAAACATTGTTGGGTAGGGGATGGTTGCAGCTCAGAGCACAGCTTAGCACAGTTAGCTTGCTTATGGAAGAGTTGAGAGAGTGTCCAGAGGGAAAAGAACAAAGGGGAGGAAAGGGTGGAAAATGGAACTGTGCATGCAGGATTTGCAAGATGTGTTGAACAATGTTCAGCTCCATGATATATTTTAAAACTTAGGAATATAACCCTATGATGAATATTTGAGGCTTTTTTTTGGGGGAGGGAGGCAGAACCACAGGAGGCTCAAGCCTTCCATTTGTGTATTTAGACATTCCTGCCTTCAAGGTTTTGACCCAACAGCTCAGGCTTTTTGGTTTTCCTTTAGGTGGCCGGAGCTTTACTTCAAAGTGAGGAAGGTATTAGGCTCGGTGGAAGGCATGCAGTCCGAGGGTTACCTGGCAGACACCCAAAACACCTCTCTGTATCTGGTAAGATGTCAGAGAGCAGGGTGGTTGTCCAGAAGATCTGAGCCTGAGGTTGCTCAGTCCATGACAAAGGTGCCTGCAGAGGCTTGCATCTCCTGCTCTTGAGAAATGGCATTTCAGGACAGACTGTCAGTTGGTCATTGTCTTTTCTCAACAGATGTTCTACAAAGTGCTGATTTTCTCATAGGTGGGTTCAACAAACAGTGCTGTCCCATCTGCCCCAGCGTATACCAGCCATGAGTTCTGGAGCAGTTTGTCTCCTGCTGGACTTTCTGATGTCGTGAAGGAGCTCTGCGATGCTCTTCGGCCTTACCTGACCAGTCAGTGAGTTAAAATTCCTTCTAGCAAACCTCAGGAGAGCTGGGACCTTGGGTCTCAGGTTCTAGCAAGTTGGGCAAGACACACATCTGATGATAGCTCTGGTTTTGAATTTGTGTTACAGGGCAGCAGCACTGAATGGGGCTGGCAGTGTTCTCCTCTCAGGACCAAGTGGCAGTGGGAAAGCAATGGCTGTCAGAGCTGTGTGCAGCTGCCTCAACCTCCACCTCTTCAAGGTACTTCATCCTGTGAGCGGTTGATGAGTGGGTTTACCACAGTGGAAGAATATCAGAAATGTTCTGTGAGATAGCAGTACCAAAAGGTGGCAGCTGTGACATGAGCCTATTCAGAAGCTGTTCCCGTGCACACATGCAGATAAAAGGAGTCAAAGTTTGCTGAGCTTAGTAGCTCACTCTGGCACAGGTTAGGACTGTCGATGGGCATAACTACAGACATTTGGATGATCCCAGAGGTCTACCTATTCTGCTGGTCTGTGTCTGAGAATGGCCAGAAACAGATGATTAGGAAGAATATATAAAAACAGACCAAGCACGAGGAGTTGTTTTCCCTGGTGTAAGGTACCTGTAAGAAGTACCTTCCAGTGCTCAGGAATCAGTAATTTTGAGGTCTTGTGTTGCAGAGGTTGCCTTTATACCTTTCTTTAATATACTGACCAAAATAACAGTTAACTTACTTTACAGCTGTGATGTTATACGGTTGTGTTATAGTAGATTTCATTTCATTGGATAGGTTATTGAACTGATACGACGTAGGCCATTCTGAAAGCAACATATCCTATTTATTTCCATGGAAATTAAAACAAAGAGCACAATAACACCATTTGGTTGAGCAGATTCTTAGCTACAAACACTATGTTTCAGCATAGTCACCATGATTAGCATTGTATGCATTTTCAGCAGTGATGAACAAGAGTTTGCATGCCACACTTGTGAAAATTTGTACCAGCAGAGGTGGCCTGTTTCACAGCTACTATGTGAGCATCATTGCTAGGAACACGTTCTCCACACAGTTCATCTTTCATTGGCCCAAACAGATGGAACTCTGAAGGTGCCAAGTCTGGACTATGCAGTGGTTGCAATAGGACAATCCAGCCAAGATGAGTAGTGTGCTCCATGTCCTTCAAACTAGAATGGGGCCTGGCATTATTGTGTTGGAAGAGAAAGGTTGTCTTCTGTGGCCTGGCTGTGAAGTTTGAGCCATCAGCTTAGTCAGTGTCACTATGTGGTGGTCAGAGTCAATGGTTCATCCAGCTTCCAGGAAACTCAGGAGGATCATCACTTTCCTATCACAAAATACACTGCACATGACCTTAGCTGCTGGGGCTGTGTCTTGAACTTTTTCTTCAATGAAGAATTCACATGTTGCCACTCTGTGGACTGCTGTTTTGACTCTGGTTCATAGTGGTGACACCATGTTTCACCGCTAATGCTGTGATTCAGGAAACTGTCACCTTCAGCCTTGTTGGTTCAGTAGGTGCTGACAAACTCTACACAGTGTTGTTTCTGTTCCTGTGTGAGCGTTCATTGTGCCTACCTGGTGCAAACTTTTGTGATATTCCTATGTTGCCACCATCATTTCTAGTACACTGAAGCTGACGTTCAGCTCCATATGCAGTTCCCTGGTTGTAGTCTATCAGTTCATGTGGATGAGCTGATGAAGATGCTCTTCATTTGCTGTGTGACAGCTGTGCACTGCTGTCCAGAATTTGGCTTTGTCTTTCACATCACTGTCACCACTGCTGGCATGCACCACCCACCATTTCACTATGCTCCCATCCACTGTTTGGTCTCCATGAATGTTCAGTGAGAGTCAGTGAATGTCAGTGGGAGCCATTTTTTCCACATTGAGAAATTCAGTTCCACACCTTTGCTCCATACACACTTCCATGTCAGACACCATTGTGTCAGACTGCCCCTCTGCTGCCACCTGTCACGTCATGGCAGCAGAATGTAAGGGGATATTGTCCTGAATCTGCTTCAGAATGTCACTGCCTTGAAAAGAGCTGCAATGTAACTGTGTTCCCATTCACTATTCTTCCTCCTAAGAGCAAAAAGCCCCAGAATCTTCCATTAGTCTGCTTGGATTTGGGAAGGGGAACATCAGAATCATGTATCTTTAGAACAAGAGAACTATGGAGAATAACACAGTTCTTACATCTGCTATGGAAGTGAATGAGAGACATTAACATAAAATGAGGCTACTGCAGAGATCCTATAGGGATGGCCTTGAAAAAAGTAATCTGAAGACAGAACAGGGAAGCAGGGATATGACTGTCACTGGAAAACAAGAGGCAGCCTTCAAAGGACAGTAAGCTGTAGCAGGTTAGAGTGGAGGATGGAGTTGTCAAAAAGGAGCATGACTGAGGAACTGTTAAAGTTTCCATATAGTTACTGCAAGTTCCTGTCCTGTGAACCTTCACAGTTTCTTCAAGGTGTTACACCAAGCATGTGGTGAAGGTAATTTGATTGATACAGTCTACTTAAATTTTGAAGAGGCTCTTGGGAATACTGAGTGGTAGTGAGAAGATCCTGATATTGATTGATAGTGCAGTTAAAGGTTTGGGACAGGACGGGGGTAGCTGGTGAGTCTTCACAGTCAACAGTGCACCTCTGCAGCTGTCTGGACTGGGAGCACATTCAGAAATGACCTTGGAAAAGAATGTGAACTGTGACATGATGGTTTGTTCATAACCAAGTTGTTAAGTAGAAGGACAGGCTCCTTGGCCTAGAGGAGAGCTTTAGTGAGGCAAGATGACTCAGTAGCAAAACAGCAGATAAAAATCACTGTAGGTACCTGAACATGAAAAACAATGAATTTCTGACTCCTGTGTAGCAGAAATGCTAAGTCATGGCCTGAACCAGTGATTGAGCACCTGGTGGGAAGGCAGGGCCAACACAGAGGAGCTCAGGTGTTTGCAATGCTCCTGACCTCATTTAATGGTTGACAGTGGAGGCAAGTGTATCTTGCTGGAGATCCCTGCCTACTGGAGGTCTTCCACAGGTAAGCAGCTTTTTTCCTTCATTTCTGCATCTGTGTCTGCTGCATTTGGGCTTGTCCTCATTTGCTGCAGTAAAGACTTTGCTGCCCTGCTATTGTTGCTCTACTTTCCATCTCATTATAGCATTACACTCCCACAGTCAGGATTGAGATTTTGGTTCTTTTTATCAATGGCTCCCTGAAGGCTTTGGCTTCAGATCATACTTTAGAAAGCAAACTGGAGAGTAGATGCTGCTTCTGTGGAAATCTGTTGCTATGAATCAAATATCGTCCGCTGTTGTAGTCTCTGCATATCAAGAATATAAAGCTGAACTGGAAAAATCCAGAGCAGGTCACTGAGGAGGATCAGTCTAGAGCAGTTTCTGTGTAGTGAAAAGCTGCAGAGACTTTTTGGCTGGAGAAATAAAGAATTTAAGGATGAATTTGATAGATGTTTACAAGATCCTGAGCGATCAGCAGAGTGTGGAAAGTGTTTGATTGTCTGTGCTAGGCGAGGCCTGAGGCTGGCAAGTGAAACTAATGGGAGGCAGGCTATGTTTGGGTGTGCTGTGGCGCTGCCTCATCCTTGTGAGTGGTCTCAGGTTCTAGCAGGATGTGCAAGGTACGTATCTCATTATGGCGTGGGTTTTGACTTTGTGTGCCTCATTTAAAGGCGAACACTACTGAATCCAAGGGTACATGCTGTTCATGTAATTCTCCTGTTCCAGTTTGTGTTTCTGTAGTGCGTGGAGGCTTTCCAGAGATGATTTGCCTTTTCCTGGTGTGACCTCTCAGCACCAGGGGGCAGCAGCGTGTGTTCCTAGCAATACTCAAGCTATTGTTCGAAGGTCGTCTCTCCTTTTTGCCGGACTCATCCAGTGTTTGCCTGTAAACGACTGGTCTGGCCTTCTAACCACCCGTAACTTTTTTTTTTTCCCCTCTTACCTTCTACCTTCCTCTTGCACTTAGAGTTTGTGTGGCTCTGGGTTGAGTAGTTTCCTGAGCTTTCCCCTCTGCTCTTTGTTCTGGAACACCTTACTTGGCCTTTTTGACAGCTTAGATTGCCTGAGCCCTGACACCTATGTATTTTGTTGTTTTTTCCAGTCCATTGGCCTCAGCTCTTTCAGACAAGAGCGTTTTCCTTTGCAGAAAAGCACAATGCTGCTGTTTCTCTATGCCAGGTGATCCTAACATTCAGTAAGCGGAAAGAGTCCTCTTAGATCCCCTTTCATCTGTCAATTGCGGATGGAACATTTTGCAGCAGTGAGCATCTTCCTCTGTCCATCTGTCTTGCTGCCCCTGAAGGCTGTGTGTTGTGTGTCTTGCAGGTTGATTGTGTCAGTTTGTGTGGTGACACCAGTGCAGCTACAGAGGAGAAAATACAGATGGCCTTTGCCCAGGCCCAGCAGTATCGTCCCTGTGTGCTTCTACTGAAAGACATAGAGGTGCTTGGCAGAGATCGGGACAGGCTAGGAGAGGACGCCAGGGTCATCGCTACTCTGAGGCAGCTGCTTCTGGACAGAGATCCAGCACTGAGGTAAGGACCTTATGCTCTGGCCACCAAGGATGGTTCATTACTTCTGCTGTTCCTAGGTCTGCAGTCACTGTTGCATAAAGGATTTTCTTGTTGCTACCACACTCAGTTTTGATTTTAATCCAGTGGAGACTCTCCTAGACTTGGTTTGTTCGCTTCAGTGAGGGCTTGTTCTTCCAGCTGGCTGGTGTCAGTGGCTGGAGGAGCCAGGAGGCCTGATCATCTGAAGCTGGGCTGGTTTCTGCCTTTGTTCAGATAAGAAAAGTTGGCATGTTTGTTGTGACCATTGGAGAGTGATTTGATGTGGGTGATGGCAATGCGGGGAGAGAGTTTTCCACAGAGCTGTTCCCCTTTCTCAGCAGCCACCCTGTCCTAGTGATAGGCACAACCTGCAAGCCCCAGGATGTTCCTACAGATGTGCAGACTGCTTTCCTTCACGAGGTGAAAATTGAGGCCCTTTCAGAAGACCAGAGGAGGGCGATACTGAGCACGCTGACTGCCAGTCTTCCTCTGGGCAAAGAAGTGAACCTAGCCAAGCTGGCCCGCAGGACTGCAGTGAGTGAAACCACAATGGTGTGTGGAGCAGGGTGGGCTTGTGGTGTGACAGGTCAGGAGTGCTGGGCCAACCTCCTGTGTCTGGCCGTGTAGAAAAGGGGCAGTTCCCACAGCACAGTCACTGTCTTCAGTGGGAAACCCTGTTCCTCACACCTCAGCTCTAACGTAATTTCTAGTGCCTAAGGATGCTACGCTTTTTGCAGATGTGCTAGCTCTGCTAGAAGACAGTGAAAAGAAAAACACAACATCAAAACAAGCTAGAGACTTGAAACAGAGCACAGAAACTCAGAGAACAACTCTGCAAGGAATCTTGCCCCTTCTATAGCCTGGCTGGAGCTGTGTTCAGGGATTGAACTGATGCTGTTTGTTTCCACATTTACAGGGTTTTGTGCTGGGAGATTTCTGTGCCTTGCTGTCCCACAGCAGCCGGGCTGCTTGTACCCGCATCCAGGCTTTGAGGTAGCACAGGCAGTTTGGCAGGAGGCAGGGAGGGTGGGGATGCAGTGAGCCTGATGGCTCTGGGAGTGGGGCAGTGCCTGAACTCTCCCCTTCTCTTTCCTTGCCAGTTTTCCAGGTGGACTGAGTGAGGAAGTGGAGAGAGATTTTTGCACTGCTGGCTTCCCAGTCCTCGAGGAGGATTTCAGTGTTGCACTGGACCAGCTACATGATGCCCATTCACAGGCAGTGGGAGCCCCAAAGGTAGGATCCTGGAATGGGATTGTTTTTTCTAAAGCCCTGTGGCTCAAGATGCCTCTCACAGACCTCAGCAGGCTGGCACGTGCCCAACCACGTTGCTTCCTGCTCTCTCATTCCACATATTTCCCCAGCCATGGAAAAAAGTGCAGCTGTGTTTTTTGACCTTGTTGGTTTTGAATTTGGCTAGGGGAGCTCTTGCAGATGTAATTGGAGACTGCTTCATCAACTAATACAGTAGGGATGCCAGGCTGTGTAGCTCAGCCTTTCAAGAGGTAAAGGTAAGCAGTGGGCTGGCTGCCTTGTTGAGGCTGAAGCTACCTGCCGTTATAGGAATGGAGAGGGCATGAACACAAGCTGGAGATGGAGTTTCCCTACATGTTCAAGAAACTTTAAACTTGGTCTTCTGACCTTGGCCACAGCTCAAGCTGGATTTTCTGACAGCCGGGCAGTTTGAAGGTGGGGGATTCTTCAGGAAAAGGGACATGAAGTGTGAAAGAGAACCAGTTGAGTTAGCTTCTCAGGGGGAGCGTGGTCTGCCTCTGGCTCAGGTTCAAGGAAACAGCATTTGAATTGACCATTTCTGCTGGGCAGCGTGGTATTGGGACCAAGAAAAATGATCAGAGCCTCATCTGCACGTTGTCAAGTTCAAATCACTGGACTCAGCACAGGACTCGAAATGCTGCCCCAGAGCAGTTATTCAGGCACCTTCCCCAGCTGCCTGTTTGCACCCCTGCCCAAGCAGGGTATCACCTTGCTGGTGTCATCATCTGGAAGCTACTCCAGGACTGTTCAGTACCCAATGAATGAATGAATGAATTAAATGAGCTCAGCTTTGAGGAGTGTTTGCTAAGTTCACTATAAGACAGATAATTACCTTAGACTGTGCTCAGCAGCGAGCTGTGTGAATAGGAGCTAATTTTGTTTGCATTTTACAGTCTCTTTAACAATTTCTTAGTAGTTGGCCATGGTTCAAAAAGCCCATTAGCAGATTTCAACATGCGTAATTTTCAATTCCATGCTTACTTTTACTGGTCATTTGCACATTTGTTTGCAGTTGAAGGAATGTCAACTCGAGCCTCCAAGAAAAAGAAACAAATTTAAAACTTCAGTTGCTAGCAGCATCTGCAACATGTCCTAGAGTTATGATGTATTTTTTTGAAAACAACCTTGCTGCCATTTTCCAGCCCTTGGATCTGTAGAGTTTTTCTAAGGAAGCAGCATAAGCAAGAGTGTAGGAGAGAAGACAACTGTTCTACTCATCTGCAGTGAGGAAAGAGGGCCTGTGACCTTTTGCTTTCAAGATTTTCTTCTAGAAATCCTTATCTTGCCTGTCCTGATTCTTTTGGTGGAGTTGCTGGGCAGCTGGAATAGTAGCATGATAATGTCATCTCAAGTAGCAGAAGAAGGAAGGGGCAAAGAATTTTGCTTTGGCTATTTTTAACCCTGCTGTTTGTGCTGACACCTGTTCAGCACCCAGCCAGCAGCTGGGGGGAAGTGTTCTGGGGCTTTGCTTTCTCTGCATGTTCCTAGGAGAGCTTCTCTGGCTCTGGAGATCTGTCCCACAGGCTGTGGCATTCTGGCTATTTCTAAAGCTTTTGAGCAGCATTCTCCTCCAAGATTGCATTACTCAGCATAAAATAACAGAAGTGACATGTGTCACCCATCTCAGGTTTGCTGTCTTTCCTCTTGTGTGCTTGCAAGGGATCACCACATCCCTTGCATCCTTGTCTATTACTTGTAAGCATCTGTGGAGCTTGTTCCTGTATTTCCCCCTTCAAAAGCATGTAGTTTTCTGCACGGTGTCCTCCAGGATGATTTTACTTCATACCATCCTTTATATGACAGAGGTTCTAGTCTAGTAGCTGAGGTTTTGTCACTCTAGTGAAGCCAGTCTGACCATCCTTGGGGGACAAGGTGCCCTGGACACAAGGCACACAGCTGCTAGGTTCAGGTTTCCTTTTTAATGAATTAATTATTTTTTACCTCCCTTGTGTCCCTAACGCTGTGTCTGCAGTAGAATTCTCCCCTCAAGGTTGCAGGCAGACACTACTCCTGTTTTTTATTTTGCTCATGGGCGATAGGAGGTGCAGTGAAGAATCAGAAAAGGCTGCAGGTTGCTTGTGGAGATGTGCGGCTTGGTTTCACTGTTGCAACACTCAAGAGAGGATGGGGGATCTCACATAAGGGGTAGCTGGGCAGTGTGGTGTGCGGCTGTTTTGCTGCGTGGCCAAATGATGACTAATAGCCCATTGGAGCTAAAGAAGCAAGCTCAGGAAGAAGTGCTGACAGGGACTCTGACTCTTGTGCAGATCCCCTCCGTGTCCTGGCAGGACGTTGGTGGGCTCCATGAGGTGAAGAAGGAGATCCTGGACACTATCCAGTTGCCCCTGGAGCACCCGGAACTGCTGTCACTGGGTCTGTGTCGCTCTGGTCTGCTGCTGTACGGACCTCCTGGGACAGGGAAGACCTTGCTGGCAAAAGCTGTGGCGACAACATGCACCATGACATTCCTTAGGTGAACAGTAGGGGTCTTGCAATAGGACTTTCTCCTGGCAGTGTATGGGATGCTCTAACCTGTTTCCTTTTCTCCTTCTCCACAGTGTGAAAGGGCCAGAGCTCATCAACATGTATGTTGGACAAAGCGAGGAGAACGTGCGTAATGGTGAGCAGAAGCATCCCAGTCCTGCATGTAGCAAGAGGATCTGTTCTGTGGTGCTGGAGGGGAGGAGGGAGTGCTTGAATTGTTTCTCCAGGCTCCCATTCACAGCTGCCAGCAAGGGCATAAATCCATTGCCTGCTATACCATGTCAGTTCTCTGCCTCGCTGCAGCTGCCCCTCTTCCACGCTCTGCTCCTTCCAGTCTGTCTTTGGTGTTCCTGATGGGGCAGCAGCCCCTCAGAGACACAGCTGAGCTTTGGGACCCCTCAGGCAGGAGCAAAGGCGGAGGTGCAGCAGTGGGCAGCTGACTTCCATCTGCAGCTCTTTGCTGGTGACAGCTTCTCTGAGTCTTTCTCACCTTGTGTGTTCTCTCTGTCCTCCCAGTGTTTGTCAGAGCCAGGGCAGCTGCTCCCTGCATTATCTTCTTTGATGAACTGGATTCTCTGGCGCCAAATCGTGGGCGGAGTGGAGATTCAGGAGGTGTCATGGACAGGTGAGTGAGCACAGGCTGTCCTTGGGAAAGCAGGCATGTCCTGCCTGCCTGAGGGAACATGGGATGGCCCAACAAGGCAGAGGTCATCCCCACTCTTTATCTCATTTTTTTTTCCATCCTTGCTCCCTTCAACTCTGCATGGCCTTTCTCTGGCCATTGCTGTTTGCATTGCAGCAGATTCCTGATTGCCCAAGCTCATTGTGCAAACACTGGTTAAAACCGTGCCTTCTCCAACTGCTTCCATGGCTGCCAACTGTTCCCTTTGGCCTCTCCAAGGTTGTCCTTCACACCCCTGCTTTGCTGTCTTATTAGTTGCTATTTTCCTGAGGTGAGAAACATTTCAGCTGTGTTGAGGATAGCATGGCAGTATCAGGGCCTGCCAGGGTGTCCCACAGCACTGATTGTCGGGTCAGTCTTGCAGCTGGATTTGCTGGGCAGAACCGCATAGCAGGGACAGTTAGGATTAGCAGATACATCTGGGTGCAGAACCTTATCTAGAGCCATGCATGCCTGCTTATGTTTGGCCTATGTTGTCAGTATCTGACAGCAAGTTACAAGCACATGCAGTGGTAATGGTGATGACTTGCCTAGTTCTGGGTGTCCTATCTCACTCTTTGCAGAGTTGTCTCACAGCTCCTGGCTGAACTTGATGGCCTCCATTCCAGCAGAGAGGTGTTTGTTATTGGAGCAACCAACAGGCCTGACCTTCTGGATTCAGCTCTGCTCCGGCCAGGCAGGTGTGTCACATCCTACCCTGCCTTGCTCTGGGGTAGATCTCTCGAGCACCTTGGACTTTGGTGAGCTGGACTGTGTCCCCACCAGGGCCTTATCTGGAGAGCTCCCTCCCAGCCTGTCCTCTTGGCTGTGATTTGCCTGTCCTGGGGCAGGACTTTGTACCATCCACCCTTGTTGGACCCCATGTGGTTCCCATCATTCCATTTCTCTGCCTTTCCAAGGTCCCTCTGAAGAGCAGCCTTGACCTCCAGTGTATCATCTGCACCCCTCATCCCCAGAAAGTTTTCTGTTTTGCAAGGACTTGACATCCAAAGCAGCTGCCCCAGGGCCCTATTTTAGTTGCCAGCAGCGGCCTGTTCTTGATGGTCTCTTTTCTCTGCTGACAGATTTGACAAGCTGGTCTATGTGGGCGTAAATGAAGACCGGGAGTCACAGCTGCAGGTGTTGAGTGCCGTCACCAGGAAGTGAGTGAGCCTGGCCTCTTCCAGCACCCTTCCACTGCTTTCTGATGGGTAGCAGCCTTCCTGGGGCTGATGTGCTCCAAGTTGGCCTCATGTCTGAGTGCTGCGGAGCGGGATAGCTGTGATCACTGCTGCCTTCAAAGATGGGCTGGAAGGAGAGGTGACAGCGTAGGCTGGCTGTACGCACATTCCATACCATGTGGCTTGGCAGCCATGCCCTCCAGCACTGGGCTGTAGGAGGCTCCATGTCTGCAGCATGACTGTGATGGGGTGGTTTGGTGTCTCAGTGGTTAGCACTGTCTGTAATTAAATGTTGTTATTCAGCCCTTGCTGTAGGCTGTTCACAGGTGTGTAGAGCACTTCATTTCACTGAGTGAGAACGCAAGTTGCCTTTGATCCTACTGGGCAGTAGAAAGGACACTGCTGTGGGGTTGTTGCAAAGAAATGACTGGTTTAAAAAAGAAAACAAAAAAGACACAACAAAACATAGAATCAACCAACCAAGCAGAACGCTTTGATTTTTCTGAAGCACGAAGAGCAGAGTCCAGAAGTTGCTAAACATGGGGTGTGACTCTGTGGCCTGTGATCCCTCCTGCCCAGCTGCTCTGGCTGCTGCCTGTCTCCCAGACTCTCATCACCTGCAGCTTTATTTCTTGGCAGGTTTAAACTGGATCCTTCTGTGAACCTCAGCAGCATCCTAGAAGAGTGCCCGGCTCAGCTGACAGGAGCTGATATCTACTCACTGTGCTCAGATGCCATGATGTGTGCTGTCAAACGCAAGGTGGAATGGATCGAGGAGGGTATGAGCCCAGCCCCTCCTCACCCCATGTGCTGGAGTTCCTCAGCACAAAGACAGAGGGCAGTTAGCCCTGCTATAGCAGTAGTTGGGCTTGGAGGGAAGAGCCCCAATGGCTCTGGGCCATCTCTAAGTGCAAGGCTGTGGGTTGCTAGCAGGTGCTTTTGCCATGTGTGATTGCACCTTGGGTGGCCTCAGTGGGGAGGGGAGAGGCAGTTTTCTTTCCCCTTCTCTATCTGGAAAAAGGACTGGAGGCTATGCTATGCTCCCTGGCTTTGCTCTCAGTTTGTTCTCATTCTTTTTTACACAGGGTTGGATACAGAGAGCTCTGCTCTCATACTCACCATGGAAGACTTCCTGCAGGCTGCTGCGAGGTTGCAGCCATCAGTCTCTGAGCAGGAGCTCCTCAGGTACAAACTCATCCAGCAAAAGTTTGCTGCCTGCTAATAAGGCTCAGGAGAGCTGGAACTGGAGGAGCAAATATGGAGCTAAGGGGCGTGAGAGATCTGGGGCAGAGACACCCACCTCCTACCTTCGTATTGCTCCTGCTTCTCCTTTTTCAATCTTGGCAGAAAAAATGGCCATGCAGTTTTGTCAGGCAAAGCCTTGTGTAGGTATTGACCTGGTGGGGGACTCTTTAACAGCCCCTCTAGTGTAGGGGGAGCAGCACCTGGCCGCCAGGAGCATGCTGAGAGGACAGACCACTGACAGGGAAGCAAGGATGGCTCTACTGGTTGGCAGTAGTCTCCTGTTGGGGTGGCATCCCCGCACTGTGGGGAGCTGGCTGGAGTACAGGGCCACTGTGGGGCAGTACTGCTGCCATGGGCCTGGCCTTGCCCTGGACTCTACAAATAAATATAGGTTTCTGTTCAGCTTTCAGCACTTGTGCTCTCTTGCTGGGGGCTTGGGATGGGCTGTGCCAGCCCAGGGGGCGGCTGTGTATCACAGAGAAACTAGTGGCTGGGCTTGCAGGGCTGCATCCACTCCTATACATCCAGCACAGGGGGGGCAGGACAAAATGCAGTGGGGACAAGTCCAGCAAAGGAAACTCCCATTAACTGGTAGGCAAAAGCTGTCCTAGTGACGAGGGGGTCAGTACTTACCCCACCTCCCGGCTGGAGCAGCCATGAGCTGCTCCATCTGAGCCAAGCCCATACTCCTGCTCCTGCCTTGCCTCTCACTGCAGCCTCTTGGCAGCTGCTGGCCCTGCCACACGTGCACTGCTTCCTGCCCTCCACCACGGATCCCAAATAAATCCCACACTGGGGCCGTGTGGCAGCCAGCTGGCAGCTGCCTTCATGTCTGCCTCGTGGCTGCCCGCTCCCGGCAGCTGCTCCTGCAGCTCATGGGCAGAGCCTCAGCCCTCTGTGTTAGTGGCACCAAAGCTGCTGCCAGTAGTGTTGCAGAGCCACGTGTGGCTGGCAAGGAGCTTGCCCCCACCGTGCTTTTCCCCAGAGGGCCACTCCTCCACCAGCTGCAGGCCCTTCATGCATGGTGGCCTGGCTAATTAGTGCCTCCAGCGTGGAGCATGTTCAGGCAGAGCAGGCCATTGCCGCGACACTCAACTGGATCTGATCCCAAGCTCTGCAGGGTGGGTAAGAAGTGAACTGTAGCTGCACAAAGCATTTCAGCTGGGTGTCTGTAACCTCCCCACCTACGTGGACCTCCAGATGGCGCTCCGTGGGGCTCAGTGCCCTCTTGGAGGCTGTGGGGCTGTGCCACCACTCAGGCACCAGCCCTGCACTTCACCCTTGGCACTGTGGCATGGGCTGGGAATAGAGGGCTGGGATGAGGCCATGCCCACCAGGCCCTGCGCCCTCCAGGCCCCCCCAGCTGACGGCGGCTCACCCCACAGATGGACACACGAACCATGGGCTCCAGTTGCTCTCATAGATGCTCTTAATTAACAGCAGTTGGCTGCTGGGTGGGTCTCTGCGAAGTCCCCAGCCGCCTGTTTGTCCCCAGAGCAACGCAGAGTGCTCTGCCACCACAGTCCTGTCACTGCAGCCCCTTAGGCAGTCTTCTTGACGACGTGGATGAAGTAGCAGGGAACGTGGGCCTGACCCGGCGTGTAGGACTGGAAGTCACCCAGGACGCTGTGCTGGCACTTCCCCTGGAAGGCGCCTTTCAGCAGTGCCGTGAAGGCCTCCAGCCGGTGCGGGTAGTACGAGAGGCGGAACTTGCTGCAGGGAGGCAATGGCCATGAGGCTGGGCCTCAGGCACCGAGGCCATGGCCTCAGCTGGGACCCCCATGCAGCCCCTCTCACCTCAGCTCCGGGGCGGCCCCCGCCTCCGTCGGGGGGACCTGCACGGTGTAGTCCAGGGTCACCATGTGGGCCTTGTTGTTCACCAGCAGCACTGAGGTGGTGATGTCCTTGGTCAGGTCGCTCTGGGGACAGCGGAATGTTGGTGTTCCGTTGTCCCTGGCCCCAGCCTGGGGTTGTGGCAGAGGGCAGCGGGATGGGGCAGGGATGGCAGCCGCCCACCTTGTAGTAGATGTTCTTTCCAGGCGGCGCGCAGCCGGTGGCCAGGATGTGGTCGTAGTTGCGGTGGTCGATGATCAGGACGCCGCCGGGCCGTACCATGCTGGCGATGTTCTTCAGGGCCAGTTTGTGGTCACTCTGGTCCCCTGGGGAGAACAGCCCAGCGTCCCCAGGCATGGACTGTGCCCCCACATCCACACAAACCCACACGGTTCCCCCAGCCTGTGGCTCGGGGCACCCGCAGCTCCACCCCTGTGATGAGCTCAGGCACGCTCTCAGCCTCCCCAGGGAAGTGTGGGGAACCCACAGCCCCACACATGGTACAGGTCTGGGTGTGCCTTCGGCCCAGCCGAAAGTGACACAGACACGCACAGCTCTACCACCGCCACAGTGGCTCCATGGAGCCCCAAAGCAGCGCCTGTTCTCAGACACGCTGCCACCTAGCGCAGTCTACCTGTGCCATGAGTTAGGGCACATCCTCAGCCTCCCTCCAGACAGGTGTGCGGCAGCCCCCGATCCCTCCAGCCGCAGCACCACCTTTGAGCCTCACCTTTGAAGTCAGGCAGGTGCGCGAAGGAGTTCCCCAGGCAGATGACAGCATCAAAGCCGTCCCCAGGCTTCTCCAGGTCCTGCTCCAGCGTCAGCCAGTTGGCCTCCTCGATGACTGTGGCACGCGGGGAGGATGAAGGCAGGGTCGCTCCGCAAGGACCCTCCGCTCCCCTCCTCCTCCCCCTCTCGCCGCCCCCCCCGCCGCAGCCCCACGCACCCCCCCAGGCCCGCACCCCATCGGTCGAAGGGTTCCTCCTTGCGCCGCTCCCAGCGCTCCTTCAGCGCGTACTTAAGCATCTTGTCGCTGGCGTCCACGCTGGTTACCTGGAAGCCCTCCTCCAGCAGCATGATGGAGTCCACCCTGGGGACAGCGCCGTCAGCGGGACGGAAGAGGGAAGGGAGAGGGAAGGGAGGGACGCGAAGACGAGGGGCCTTACCCGGTGCCGCAGGCCACGTCGAGGACGGATCGGCATCGGTGCTGGCGGAGGAGCGCCAGGAGCCAGCTGCGGTACTCGGCCGTGCGGCTCCGCGTGTCCCCGATGTACAGCTGCCAGACCTTCGCCGCCCGCCCGTCCGCATACTGATCCGGCAGCCCCTCGGCCGCCACCCCCAGCGAGCGCGTCCGGTACACGCTGTCCACCATCCCGCCGCCGCCGCCCCGCTCCGCCGCGGCCCCGCCGCCGCTCCACCGCTCCCCCGCTCCGCCCCGCCCCGCCCCCTAGGGCCGCCAATCGCCGCGGCCGACACTCCCCTTCGCCCCGCCCCCCCGCGGGGAGGAGCCTCCGAGAGCCGACCCGGCAGCGCGGGGCAAGCAGCGCAGCGGCGCTCCGCGAAAAAGGTCTTTATTCGCAGCCCCGGCGCCGCAGGGTCCCGGGCTGCCGAGCTGCGGGCGCTGGGAGGACGCGGCCCCGGCCCTGCGCGCCGTGGGGGAATGAGTCCGTACCGTGGTGGGCCGGAAGCCGCGGCTGTGGCACGGGGGAGAGCCTTTCTCCCCGCTCAGTCCTTGCGAGCCGCTACCTATAGCTCGTCGGTGGGGCTGTGGGGGAGCGGGGTGGCTTCCTGCACTCCGCTCTCCTCCGGGGAGAAGCTCTCGACACCCTCGCTTTGTTCCTTCTCGGCTTTCTTCTTCTTTTTCCCGCTCTTCTTCTTGCTCGACTTCTCCCCTGCGCTTGCCAAGTCCCCCTTCTTGCCGGTCCACTTCTCTGCTAAGCAGCCTGGGCAGGGGGAGAGAGGGCCCTGAGGAACACGTAGGGCTCCCCGTGCCCTTGCTGGATTCCCTGTGCTCTCACAGGCATGCACTGCCCCAGGCAGCCCCAAGGACTTACTGGCATCCTTCCCTTTCAGCACGCGGTCAGCACAGAGGAATTGGGAGAGATCTTCTGTCTGGTGGTGCCGGTACCAGTCCTCGATCACGTCTTCGTACTCCTCCACCAGCACATCACACTGACAGGGAGAGGACAGCCTGGCACCAGCACGTGGCAGAGCCCTGATCCCATCCCCACACCTGCTGAGCCCTTTCCAGCCCGCACGGCCGCAGCACACTGACCCCAGCAAGAAGGTACCTGCTTCTTGAGATCCGCCACCTCGGCAGAGGTCTCATTCCACAGCTCATAGGGAATGTCCATCACCACCTTGACACCTTTGTGCACCAGGTTGTGCAGGGTCTCAAATGTCTCTGACATGCCCTGGGGAGAACAGAGCCATGCAGTGAGGCTGTGCGCGGGGGCACAGAGAGACCTGAGGCAGCCAACACTGAGGTGTTACGTGCCCACCAGTCCTTCTCTGCACTGAGCACATCCTAAACACAGTAGGAAGGCCTATGTGGGATGGCACCTGGCTCCCTTCTGGCCCACCTCCCCCTCAGGACAGCACCCCAGAGCAGCACAGCCTTGCCTGCTGTCAGCTGGCACCTTGAAGAACCGACCACATTTCAGCACCAGGAAGGAAACCCACCTTTGCAAATCTGTTGCTGCCGCTCCTTTCCTTGTGCAGGTTGTAGTCCAACAGCCTCTTGCAAATGTTCTCTGTCACCTCGATGAGCCGGATGTCCCTGCACAGAGAGGAAGAATGGGAACGGCTTGGAAGTACACCGCAGAACAGCCTCCAAGTTCAGGAGGAAGCAACCTGGCACATTTCCATGCTCCAGAGGAGGGACTCAGCCTCTTCTGTTTTTACTTACGACTGTGTGTACTTGACAGCAGCGCCCTTCCCATCCAAGAAGCCATACTTAGTGTCGATGACCTCCTTGGTCTTGCCGGTCTCTTCAAAGGCAGATTTCAGCTCCAATGCCACGTATTTGCACACTGCAGGAGGGAAAGCATAGCAGGTCAGTAGGTCCTGAGGAGGAACTTGGTGCTGGGAGAAGAGCTCACAGGGCACGGTCACCACTGTTCACAGAAACGAAGAGCAGCATCCTGACTGATGATCTCCTGGAGTAGGAGGCCCTGAATAGTGCTTCAGTATTAGTGCAGCCACACTGCTACAGCCAGGAGAGCAGAGGGCAGCCACTCCAGTGTCTGCTTCACCTGCTCATCACTTTCCATGGGGACAGGGAACCGCGAGTCACCCCTTTCCTGTGCCTCCCACACAGGAAGGCAGCCAGGCACATGGGTGCAGAGCTGCAGGGGTTGCATCACTACTGCAGGGCACTGCACTGCCGGCGGTGCTCTGCCACGCTTTTAGAAACGATAAATGAACGAAAGAGGGGAGGGGGGAAACAAAATTTTATTTCAGCTGTAACAGACAGTCCAACAGAGAGACAGGAACGGTGAGCAGGAGGAAATGGGGGTTTGCAGGCGTGGAGGGACGGAGGCTGGGCTCGGCACGGCCCTTCCTGCCCCGGAGCTCCGCAGGGCTCCGTGCCGTTCCGCAGTGCCCTCCGCCGGGAGCGAGCCCGGCCCTGCGCTGCCATGGCTCACAGCGGTCCCGTGCTAGGCGGGCAGCAGCCGTGCGGTCACACGGCACCTCCGGAGCGTCTTCCCGGGAGGGGGAGCCGCACAAAGAGCTCCGCCGCAGCTTCTCCTCCTTTCCTCCTCGCCGCGGAGCCCCGCACGTCCCTGCACGGCACAGACAGAGCGAGGCGAGGCCCGGCCCCGGCGGAGCCTCGGCTCCCTTCACTTCCGGGTGCTGCGGGAAGGCCCGGCTGCCGCGACCGGGCCTCCTCCGCCCCGGCCCGCTCCCGGCCCCGCTCCCCTCGCCCCCGGCCGCGCTCACCCTCGCACTTGCTGGGCAGCCGCACCCAGTCCGCGTCGTCGCCGCCCGCTACCGCCAGCAGCAGCAGCAGCAGCAACGCGGCGGGACCCTCCGCCGCCATGGCTCCGCTTCCGGGCGTTCACCCCGCCCCCGTCACCACGGCAACCCACCGCCACTGCCAACCCCAGCGGCCCGCGTGGCACGCCCGGCCAATCGCCGCCCTGCCCGCCGAGTAAGCCCCGCCCTCTCCGCTGGCTTGCCGCGGGCCCGCGCCGGAGGGTCCTTGTCCGTCCCATCGCACGCCGTGCTCCGAGGTTGTTCCGGGCCCCCGTTCCGCGGGCTCCTTTCCGCTCCGCTCCCACACCTTCACCCATACTGGGTCTGCCCCTCGTTCCGGGGGACTCCTCCCTGCCCGGCCTGGTCCCTCAGCGCCGGGCCAGGAGCAGGGCGGTGAGCAGGGCGTCGAGGAGCGCGGCCTTCAGCAGCACCACCCGCGCGGCCACCAGCAGGGCTACGGCAGCACAGGCGCGGGGCTCTGAAACAGAGGGGACAGCAGCGTGGCTGCAGGCCCTACGGCACCCCCCCTAAATGGCACGTTGTCCCCGTCGCACTCACCCGCGGGGGTTCTGGGACACAGCTCTGCCTCCTCATCGCTGCCTGCAGGATGAGGAACAGTGAGGAGGGGGCTGCCACAAAACCCTTTGTAAAATTCACCCGCAGGGCCACATGCCTGCTGCCTGCTGGCACAGCCCTGGTCCCAGGCAGGGCCCCTGTCCGTACCTGCAACTGGGATGAGGTTGGAGCTATGGGCTGGAGCGCTGCTGTTGGGCCCAACATGGCACGCCAGGAGCTCCTGCTCCATGGGACTGTCAGGGAGGATGGAAACTGCACAGACGGTGCCACCCTCCTCCTGTGAAGCCCCATAGGCAAAGGACTGCAAAGCGCTGCTGTTCCCACTGGAGATCCAGACGGCATGGCCGGAGCTTGCAGGCAGCTCACTCACCACACACACCACCAGCCGCCGCTGCTGCCCTGACACCACCATGGTCAGTGGTGGGGAAAGGACGGGCAGGGGGTTGGCAGCCCTGCAGGCTGCAAGGATGCAGGTTAAAGCTTTGCGCTGGGCCTAGCCTTCACAGCTAGGCTCGGTGGCCGCCAGCCCACTCCACACCCACCACCTCAACTCGCCTGCTGGCTACTCACAGGGCAGAAGCAGAGCAGAGGCCAGCAGCAACCAGGGCACCTCCATGGAAGCAGCAGCAGCAGCACAGTGGTCGCTCAGCCCCCAACCGTTACTGTCACCTGCTCCCAGCTGCTCTGAGCTGCACCTGGGGCAAGGCAGTGAGAGGGAGGCGGGCACGGGCCAGAGACAGCCCCTGGCACGAGTGCCATCGCCTCACTACTTTCCCATCCCAGAGCTGCCCGCCTCCCCCTCCCGCACACATGGTAGCGCCCTTCCTCCCCCCCTGCTGCAGTGGTACGGCCACAGACAGCGCCATGATGGAGCCGGGCAGCGCCGTGACAGAGCAGATGAAGGACACGGCCCCCCCAGCCACCGTAGCCCCAGCCCCCCCTCCTTCATTTGCTGAGCTGCTGCAGATGGTGCAGAGGGGCCAGACCCCAGCTGGTGTGCGGTGCCCCAACGCCTCACCCACAAACGACATCCCCACAGCCTCCCGCCTCTCGCGGCCTCCCAAGCCCTGGGAGAACCGCCCAGGCCAGCCCTGAGCTTCTCTGGCAGCCAGGAGGCCCCGCTGCCCCCCCTGGATGCCCTTGGATCTCCCAGGAGGATGGAGCAAGGCTGGCTGCAGACACAGCTTTAAATGCTTTTTTTTTTTTTTTTTTTTTTTTTTTTAAAGAAACATATAAAGAACTCTTAACAAGAAGTATAAAAATCTCCTTGGTGCCAACCAGACGAGGATCATACAGAAGGAGAGGCCACAGCTACCGCTGGGGCTTGGGAACATAGTCTGCCCCAGGCCTGTACTACTGCCCGAGGGCTGAGAACCTGCCTGTGACTGTGCATCTCTATGACCTGAGGAGCGCTGGAGCCAAGGTAAGAGCTGGGCTGGAAAGCTATCTGCTTTGTTCTTTGGGTCAAAATATTGAAAAAATAAAATAATGACAAAAAAGTGCAATGCACTGTCACTCCCAGCATTCACTTCATGCTGTTTGTGACCTATTCATCTTTGCAGCTGCTGCCAGCTCTTAGCGAACAAAAAACTCTCACTGCCTTCAAGCCCATAGGAACAGTGATCCTGCTTGATTTCCACACACGTTGCAATAGCAATCTTTTACAACGTGCAAACAAACACCAATGGGACCGCATTTCTGCACGATGCGGCTTCACCCCATCACAACACAAACATGAAGTTAACCTTGTAACTGTTTGACAAACCTGAGAACTTAACCCTTGAAACCCAGAGGGGGCAAAGGCAGAACTAAGGGGTGCTTCCTTCCTCTCACTGCAGGATTACTGCTCCAGCGTGAGCTTTAGCTTGATGTTCATGGCTGCCAGCTCTGCCAAGAAGTACCGGAAGACGTGGGGCACGGGGATGACCTGGATGGTGTCCATCCTGCCACAGAGCATGCAGGAATACCTCCTGTTGCTTGCTACAGAGGAAGGTGGTGGGCGCTGGAGCAGAGGAGATAACATGCTGCCGCAGCTCGTGCAAACATAGGCTTCTGAGCCATCGGAGCAGCTGAACAGGCGGTCGTGCAGCAGGAAGGAGGTGCCATGAGCCAAGAGCGCATCACGCTCCATCTCACCAAAGCGAATCCCCCCTTCCACGTTCCTCCCCTTGACGGGCTGGTTGGTGACAGAATCCCGGGGTCCTGTAGTCCTCACCTGGAACTTGTCTGAGACCATGTGGCGCAGGCGCTGGTAGTACACGACTCCCACAAAGATGTCTGCCTCCAGCTCCACGCCGCTGATTCCGCTGTACATCTTTTCTGTCCCAAAGAAGTTATAGCCCGCGCTCACCAAAGTCTCACCAAAGTACTTCAAGGCAGAGTTTTTCTCCGTGAAGGTGAAGGGAGTGGCATCGTAGTAGGCGCCGTGCAGCGCTGCTGACTTCCCCGCCATGCTCTCAATTAACATCCCGATGGTCATACGGGAGGGGAACCCATGGGGGTTGAAGAGGATGTCTGGAACCATCCCATTCTCCGTGAATGGCATGTCTTCAACAGGCCAGAGCTGGCTCAGGATGCCCTTCTGCCCATGGCGGCTGGCAAATTTGTCTCCAACAGTTGGGTTTCGAGGAACTCTCACAGTGATGCAAGCCTTCTTGAATTTCCCAGTGCCACGGTCATTACTGCACAGCTTGATGTTGTCCACAATGCCTACTTCTTTATTCCTGCGTAGGTGGAAAAACATTCACAGCAAAGGTATCAGATAATATGCTCATGACTTTGAAGTGAAGCAAAGAAACCAACCCACTTTTAAATCCAATGAAGAGCTGGGGATCACCACATTTTTTGAAGAATGTCATTCAGGGAAATCAGACTGCACAAGAATTAGAGCACAGCAGCCAAACAAAGGTATCACCCAAGTGCCATTTGTTTGCTGTTTCTAATGCTAGCAACACAACTGCAACTTCCATGTGATGAGGTAATGTGTCACCCATGATAATAAAGTCAAAATTATTTAAACCTGGTTCATCAGTACTACAGCCGATCAGACGTGCCAATTGTCTTCTTTCAAGGCAGCATTTTCCTACACAATAAATTAACACTGCCCTGGTGGGACGCTAGCATAAATGAACAGGTTCAGGGCGAAGTTGAGAGGAAAGCTCAGGAGCAGATAGCAGAGGCAGCTGAGTGGGCCTTTGCCAACAGGTGTTCAGGGCTACGTTGCTGTTTCAAGCGAACCCTCAGCAGATGTTTCACATGCTGGATGTCTGTTGCACACTTAACTCCTGTCACAGAGCTTGCAGCCCAAACTCTTAAGAAATGAATAAATTTAGACCACATTACAACAGGATTAGTTTTTTGTTTGTCCTCTGAAGTCCCTTTACTGCTTGCAGAAGGCCTGCCCTTATGATTAGCTTCTGTTTTACAGCTATTCTTCTACTGTGCCAAAATGCAACCACAGTATAGGCCATCCCCAAACAACAACAAAAACACTCAAAAATTGCTTCATAAGCCTCTTCCCAGCTTCATGAAAGTTCTGAGTCAAAGCCTCTGCTCTCCACCCCTTCCAAGCCAAGTTTAAGATCCAAGCAGTGTGTGTAGGACAGTAGGGAGAACTGCCCCTTCAAGTTGCAGGGTCTCTGGGAAAACTTGGGGCATGAGCTAACAGTGAGAGCAGGGAACCTCCCCATAGGAACCTAAACAGTTACCTCATCTAGAACTGTAATGAACAAATGCTGCAGAGTACACAGGTAAAATGGCTCTCTGGGTAAGGAACCTGAACTAAGGTGAGGCTGGCACAAAAGAGCTGGCAAACAGGAATATGGAGTAGGGAGCCAAAACAGGATTCACAAGTGGAAGGAGCATAAGGCTGAGCTGACAGTATCAAGTTCTGGCAATCCTCACTGCCACGTACTGAATCTCTCTGCTCTGCTCTACAACCAGCAATCTCTCCAACACAGTTTCAATGCACTCATTGTGTATTATTAACAGATAGCTTTCCCAGTAAGACTGGTTATTCTGCTCTCCAATTAGCTTATCCAATAAGCTAATTTGCTTTCTAATAATGAATAACTAAATAGTATGATCTTCACTGTATAAATGGTGCAGGTAAGGCATGAAGTTGTATTGACAAGAGACTGGCAAGTCTTTGGGGACCAAGAACCCAATTCAGTTAACACAATACTGCAGAAAATGATAGAGATGGACAAATGAACAATATTGGGGGACAGCAAAAAATTTTTGCAAATTCTCTCTTTTTACCATTCCTAGTCTTATATCCTAGATGCTGCAGCTCTTCAGCATACACTGACTCCAAGCCACAAAACATGCATCAATTTCATGCTCCATGAACACGTGGATACCTTAAGTGCTGTGTGAGGAGAAAAGGCAATACCTAAAAGAGCAGCTGATCAGGGTCCACTATGTATGTTTGGAGACAGGAGGAACAAGCTGAACTTACTGGTAGTACACAGTGAAGGTCTCTCCTGTGTTAAGGTTCATGTAGCTGTAGAACGGGTCCCCGGGCTGCAGGATGGAGCCAACAAAAGGCAGTCCATCAGCATCCAACTTCTCCTTAATGTTTGGGTCCCCAGGCCTGATACCAAATACTAAATTATCACCTCCCCTGCTAGCTTTAAGGGAAAGGTCAATGCTCTCCATCTTGATAACACTTCCGTAAGCAAACCCTCTCTCCCAAGAAGATTTGTTCACAATCTGAGAGAAAGAAAAAAAGGATGTTAAAAACTTGTTAGTATCTTCAAAAAAAGAATTTCCATTCTGATCTGATGCACACCTTCCTACATTAAAAAAACAAACACCTCCCAGCCAATCATCACTCCAACAGGCTCAGGTCTCCTCCGATCCCATTTTTTTTCCTCTTTTTTTTTTTTTTTTTTTAAATCAATGCTGGAAGCCCACAGCCTTGCACAAGGGAGCTCTGCTCTACTCTGACTACCCCGAACATTACTGCAGAAGGTGCTTAACAGCTGAGTTCCTGTATCAATTCTAATGGAACTAGCAAAAGCAGAAAAAGGGCTCTTCTCAACTGCATACCGCCCTTCTTTACAACTGCCTGTGCTAAATTCCTTTGCAGGACAATGTAATTCCTCACACTTACCATTGCATCTTCCATGTCATAGCCACTATAGGAGATGACAGCCACAACTGAATTGGTACCGACTGGGTAGCTGTCCATACCATAATAGTCATACATTCTGGGCCTCACCAGAGGGCTCTGAGGGGTATGGAGGAGGTACAACTTGTTATCTGAGCGGTCCTTGTAGTTATACACTGGAAACCCCATGGTTTGCTTTCCTACAAAGAAAGTTGTATTTACACAAGATCAATTCAAAGCTAAACAGTGTTGTCCTCCAGAATTATTATTCAATAACTGCCTTAAGTCCAGCTAAAAGAGTTTCTATGAACCATACACATCAACTAAATTCCCTTCACATCACTACGTAAAGGATTCTTCTAATTGCATCTTTTCTGCAATTTCAAGCCTCCAATAAAGTGTTGGCTTTTTTTTTCCCACTGACAGTACAAACACATGGCAGTAAAAAAAGTTCTTGAACACAGTCACATCAGTACTTTCAGATAAATATGAAAAAGCAGTAGCATATTAAGGGCACCTTTCTGGTAAGCTTGTTAGAAATGCAATATGCTGTGGTGCTGATGAGAGCAGCACTCTCATAGTTTCTACCTCTTAGCCTGGCTTTTTTTGCTTTAAATAAGTTTCTTGCAAATCACTTGTTGACTAATTGAAACTCCATCTACATACCATATCCCAATTGCCTGCAGACAACCAAGTTAA